GGCCGAGGGGGCTGCAGGGAGCAGGTAGGGAGGGGCGCTGGGGGGCAGGGGCACGGTTCTCGAATCCACCGCGGTCTCGTCTCACAGTGTGAGCACGCTCCCCCTTACAGCGAGCTCATTCTCTCTAATTAACAAATCACACTAGGGCGGAGGGGTATCTTCCGTAGCATTTTAATTTTCAGAATCCTTGTTTTTCCTGTCAGTTTTAAGCACTCATTATAGACAAGATGCTATCACCCGACATCTATGACACATTTGTATAATTAATGAAGTCTCCCCGGCCACAGCGTGTGGGGGCTCGGGGACGTGTGGAGCATCCAGAGCGTGTTGCCGATGAAATCCCGAGCTGTCAGCTGCCGGGAGGATGGTGGCCCGGGGCCTCCCCGCGGCCCCGTCTGCAGACACTTGGGGTCGGAAGTGGGAAAACCGAGGCCACAGTGCACCTCCCCTCCCAGCACAGTGCGAGCTGCTCTCCCCCTCGGGGAGCAGGCGATGCGATTTCTCAGGCTGGGGTCCGCCTGCCCGCGGGGTTGGAAAGTTTGCTGCTGATGTGACTGACACGCTCCAGCAGCTCCCGTGTTACGGGGCGTCAGCAGATGTGTGGCTTTGGGGCCCGGCCTGCGAGGAGCTAATGTCCCCTGCTGGTTGGGGGCCTGCTTCTGCAGCACATGGCCCTCTGTGGCCCCTGACACTTTGTAAAATTTGTATCTGCCCCGTAATCGCTGCTAATGAGCATGTAACAAGTGCAGCAGTCCCCTTGCTGGGAAGATGTACAATGTTACTAAAAAAAGTACCCTTTTTACTCTGTGCCGCTTGACAGTGAGATCAGGGGGAGCCCTCGGCTGACGGGGATGGCCACGTGGTTTTGCCCTTCGCGGCGGCTTCCACAGAGACGGGCTTTATATTTTTTCACATCGGCTCACACTTTGAAGAATCTGATCTTTTCACCTGAACATGAATTAAGACATTTCATGTTTTCTAGTGCCCTTTTACAAAGTGCTTTTTTCGACTCCTAGGGCACATCTCTTTTACTTTTATTATATTTGGTTAGTCCATCGTTTATTCATTTATCTAATTAGCATTTATTGAGCACCTGCTATGTGCCAGATACAGATGGGCAGCAGAATGCCAAGGCTAATGAGACGTGTTATCTCAGCCCCTGACTCAGGGTGGCTGGAGTCTGCTCCTCTCCCCTTTGACCTCTGGCCTTTCATCTCTGAAAAGAGAGTCTGGGATACGTCCCTTTCAAGATGTTTTCTCGCTCTGAGCCTCCGTGTTTCCATGTTGCGCTCAGTTCGCATCCTGAGGAATCCACGTGAATCCAGTTCTTCGTCCAGACTCCTTATGCGTCCCCAGCTGACCTGGGCCCTGCCTGCCGTGGGGCCTCCCTGTCCACTCCTCACCAGCCACCCTGGCTGTCTGTCCCCCGACCAGCCAGACCCAGTCCCCCTTGAGGACCCTGCACTGGCCATCGCACTTCCTGCAGGATTCACACCTTGGCCCATAGGCCCTTCGTCCTCACTGGGAGGCCTTCTCCAGCTGTGCAGGAGTCGTCCCGTCCCCCATCCGCC